AACAGACTAATACAGTAAACTGGTACCAAGACTAGGATGCTACTATAAAGATACCTGAAAATGTGGGAGCGACTTTGGAATGGGTAACAGGCAGGGTCTGGGACAGTTTGGAGGGCTCAGAAGACAGGAAGATGTGGGAAAGTTTGGAACTTCCTAGAAAATTGAATGGCTTTGAGTAAAATGCTGATAGTGATATGGCCAATAAAATCCAGGCTAAGGTGGGCTCTGATGGAGATGAGGAACTTGTTGGTAACTGCAGTAAAGGTCACTCTTGCTATGCAAAGAGACTGGCAGCATTTTGCCCTGCCCTAGAGATATGTGCAACTTTGAACTTGAGAGAGATGATTTAGGGTATCTGACAGAAGAAATTTCTAACTGGCAAAGCATCCTAGAGGTGACAGAGCATAAAACTTTGGAAAATTTGCAGCCTGATGAAGTGGTAAAAAGAAAAACCCATTTTCTGGAGAAAAATTCAAGCTGGCTGCAGAAATTTGCATAAATAACCAGGAGCCAAATGTTAATTGACAAGACAATGGGGAAAACGTCTTCAGGGTATGTCAGAGACCTTCATGGCAGCCCCTCCCATCACAGGCTCAGAGGCCTAGGAGGGGGAAGAATGGTTTCCTGGGCTGGGTCCAGGGCCCTCCTGCTGTGTGCAGCCTCAGGACTTGGTGCCCTGTGTCCCAGCCATGGCTAGAAGGGGCCAAGGTAGAGCTCAGGTCATGGCTTCGAAGGATGCAAGCCCCAAGCCTTGGCAGCTTCCACGTGGTATTGGTACTGTGGGTGTGCAGAAGATAAGAACTGAAGTTTGGGAACCTCTGCCTAGATTTCAGATGATGTATGGAAACGTCAGGATGTCCACGCAGAGGTGTGCTGCAGGGGCGGGGCTCTCCTGGAGAACCTCTACTGGGGCAGAGTGGAAGGGAAATGTGGCTGCCCCAATAGGGGAGTCCCCACCAGGACATCACCTGGTGGAGCTGTGAGAAGAGGGCCACTGTCCTCCAGACCTCAGAATGGTAGATCCACTGACAGCTTGCACCCTGTGCCTGGAAAAGCCACAGACACTGAATGCCAGCCCATGAAAGCAGCCAGGAGGGGAGCTGTACCCTGCAAAGCCACAGGGGCAGAGCTGCCCAAAACCATGGGAACCCACCTCTTATACCAGCATGACCTGGATGTAAGACATGGAGTCAAAGGAGATCATTTCAGAGCTTTAAGATCTGACTGCCCTGTTGGATTTCAGACTTGCATGGGGCCTACAGCCCCATCATTCTAGCCAATCTCTCCCATTTGCAATGAGTGTATTTACTCAATACCTGTAACCCCACTGTATCTAGAAAGTAATAAACTTGCTTTTGATTTTACAGGCTCATAGACAGAAGGGACTTGCCTTGTTTCAGATGAGACTTTGGACTATGGACTTTTGAGTTAATGCTAAAACGAGTTAAGACTTTGGGGACTGTTGAGAAGGCATGATTGGTTTTGAAATGTGAGGACATGAGATTCGGGAGAGACCAGGGTGGAATGATATGGTTTGGCTCTGTGTCCCCACCCAAATCTCATCTTGAATTGTAACTCTTATAATTCCCATGTGTTGTGGGAGGGACCTGGTGGGAGGTAACTGAATCACGGGGGTGGGTCTTTCCCATGCTATTCTGGTGATAGTGAATAAGTCTCACAAGAACTCATTGTTTTATAAAAGGGAGTTCCCCTGCACATGTTCTCCTGTCTGCCACCAGGTAAGATGTGACTTTGCTCTTCCTTTGCCTTCCACACGATTATGAGGCCTCCCCAGCCACGTGGAACTGTGAGTCAATTAAGACTCTTTCCTTTATAAATTATATTACCCAGTCTCGGGTATGTCTTTGTTAGCAGCATGAGAACAGACTTACACAATGTAATCCTACCACCAAAAATACTTAGTGTTATTTTGGGGTATTTCAATCTGGCTTTTTTCCCCCATGAATGGAATAGGTTTTAACATAGCTTTAACTAGGCACAAACAAATGTACATACATGCAATGTTTTCCTCTTAATTTTATCTCATAAGCATTTTCTATGTAATTATAGTACATTCTCTTCACAAGCACTATTTTTTACGGCTGCAGACTAGTTCAAGAAATGGGTTTCCCATTGTTTGCCTAATTCTTCCTCTCTGTCCCATGTTTTAGTAGCTTCTGTCTTTACTGAGTTAAATGTTATTAATATAAATAGCTTTAGGTTGCTAATACTTAGCTCCAGTTGCTTTCCTAAAAGTATACACTGATCAATGTACTATTTGAGGATTTTGTTTCTGGATAGCCCACTCTGTGCTCCAAATGAAAACTAACATCCCAGAGGCTCTCCACTTATTCAGTCCTCTTCATGAAGCTTTAGGAAGGGAGCATTTCAATGTCTGCTACTTGCCAGGCTCTGCTGCGCATGTGTAATGTTATCTCATTTAATTCTTCAAATCCAAGTTTCAAGACTTCAGCGATCATCTCGGCTTTTCATTCATTCAAAGTAGTACTGAGTGCTTATATAGTGCCAGGTACTGGTAACACAGTAGTAAGCAAAACCAAACTCCCTCAGGAGTGTTTACCCTGTCTCAAAGGCACTCCAAGACTTTAAAAAGTAGCCACTCCATTTCTGTACTACTCTGATAACAAAACATTTCAATAGCTTCCATTACACTTCAGAAGAAATCCAAATTATTTTCCCTAGCCCACAAAGCCCCACTTCAGCTGGCTTTGCCTACCCCACCCATACCATCCCCTGCCATGTTATCCTTACCCATTAGGCCTCACCACTTGAATACGCTAAGCTCTTTCCACTTGAGCCATTCCCCATGACTGAACCTCCCACTCTGATCATCAAAAATTCAAGCCCCTTCCCATCTTTTAGGTCTTAGCTGAAATGTCACCTCTTCATGGCTTTCCTTCGTCACTCCATCTAAGAGGTTCACCAATATTTCCCTACTCTGTCACATCTTCAGTTCATTTCCTTCCACAGCACTTATTCACTGCAACTGTTTTGTTGGCCTTTCTTCCATACTTGAAATGGGGTTATCTGCCACTGTATCCACAAAGCCTACCACGATACCCAGTGGGCAGAATACATGGAAACTCAACCATGTGCTGAATGAATAAAATGTTTTTCCTTTACCTGGAATGATATCTAGTTTCTTGAAACTTCCACCTATTGATCCTAATTTTACTCTCTATAAATACATTGGGAAAAAAGTATACTTTACTGCATGTGTATCATACTTTGTAATTAAGTATATACTAAATCTATTATTTTGTTAACTGCAGCACTCACCTGTGTTTTAGCAATTGCAAACTTTGCTGACTTGAGAGTATCAAGAAGCAGATAAGGGCACGACTCCCAAGTGACATCACCTGGGTTGGAATATGAGCTCCAATACTTATACACACGAAATGGATCTCACTTGTGTGATTTTGAACTAGTTATCTAACCGCTTGGTATCCCAGTTTCCTCATTTGGAAAATTGAGATAAGACTTCAATTATTGTGAGAATTAAATGGGATAATGTATGTAAAGCGCTTACCCCAGTTCCTGGTACAGGAATGTTAGCTGACAAACTACTACTGCTGTCTCACCAGCTAGACAGGAAAGCTCCTTAAAAGCGGTAACATTGGCCGGACGCGGTGGCTCACGCCTGTAAGCCCAGCACTTTGGGAGGCCAAGGCGGACGGATCACGAGGTCAGGAGATCGAGACCAGCCTGGCGAACACGGTGAAACCCCACCTTCACTAAAAACACAAAAAATTAGCCGGGTTTGGTGGCGGGCACCTGTAGTCCCAGCTACTCGAGAGGCTGAGGCAGGAGAATGGCCTGAACCCGGGAGGTGGAGCTTGCAGTGAGCCGAGATGGCGCCACTGCACCCCAGCCTAGGCGAAGAGTGAGACTCCGTTTCAAAAAAAAAAAAAAAAAAAAAGGCGGTAACATTATTCTTTATATTTCTAAGACCTACCTTATACAAGTTTCAACAAATCTAGATTTAAAGCTATCATCCTACAAGTCTGGCTAAGACATCTCTACTTCCATATATTCCCCTAACACGCTGAACCTAGCCCACCTGTTATTTATCCCAACAGTCATTTTACTACTTTGTCTCCAACACCTGACCCTTAGGAGCAGGTATATCTTGTTCACCATGCTATCCTCAACACCTGCAACACCAAAATTTGATAATTCAGTGAATAAATCACTGTGGGCCCCCATTTTCCCTATGAAAATCATTTTTAAAATTATTTATTGTCTGTCACTGCCCATTCCACACAATGAAAACGTAGTTAGCCAAACTCTGTCTTGTGAACTGCTGTATCTAATATACCCTACTGGAGGCTCCAAAATATTTGGTAAAGGTGTTTTTTTTTTTTTTTTTGGTTTGTTTTTGTTTTTTTCTGTTAAGACATGTTGATGCTCGTAGTTTTCTGCTACGGAATTAAATACTAAGCCTGTCTATTGACTCCGCAGCGTTACTGATGAGCTAGCTATGTGTGCTCATCAATATTTCTCCAAAGCCTAGGCAGAAATAGCAGATTATGTATTGAATGAACAGATGGACATGTTATTTGCCAACACTGAAAAGAGATGCAGCAAAATAAGAAAGGCAGTATCGAATACAAGGGCTTTGAGCGACTTGAGTAAGGTTTTTGTCGTTGTGTTACAGTTCTTTAATTCCCAAAAGAGTAGTTAACAGTGTATAATAGAAGCTCTTTTTTCTTTTAAGTAAATGAGTGTGCAAAAGACAACGAGTCAAGTACCCCTTCCTTCCCCCACCTGTCTCTTACGACCTGGCAGTGCAGACACAGCCTTGATACCAGGCCCGCCAGTGGCCTGGGAGCCCCGCGCTCCTTCTCAGACCTGGCTGCCAGTAACCCGAGGACAGTCCAGCGCGCAAAACCGGAAGACAGCCAATGCTGAGAACCCCCACCGGCTCCAATGCCGGACGCCGGCACTCTGAGCGACCCACCCCACCGCCCCGCACTCACCACCAGCGACGCCATGAACCCCGGCCCGTCCATGGTCGCTCAGACCTCGTCAAGGCTGCAATCCAAGCCGGAGCAGAGGCGGATCACGTCCTCGCGCGGTAGGCGTCGCCATCTTTGAGGCGGGCCTATCGTGCACTTCCGGGACCACGTGACGTAGAACCACAACAACTGCACGTGCAACGCCCAAGACCCGGGCCAAGAGGAGGGCCAGAGAGGAGGGGCGGGGCCTCGGGGAGTGTGGTCGAGCTAAGTCTCGGCAATTCTCTTACCTCTGTTTCCTGCAGCAGCGTTGTGTGCAGCTAGACGGAGGAACTCTCGCGAGCAAAAGATCCTCGGCTGGAATCCAGGAGAGAGCAGCCGTAGAATGAGGCCGGGGTGATTCTGAACTGTAAACCCAAAAGAGACGTGGCTATGGTGAAGGGAGGAGTCGTGAGGGGCGGTACTAACCTCTGGAGGCGCGATTCGGAATCCTAATCGGGTATTTCATTTTGGTTTATCTCTTAGTTTTGTCAACAAATTTTATCTGAGTTTATATTAAATTAACTCATTATCAGAAGATTATTAAATAAAGATATAGAAAAATACTTAAAAAGTTTCCTGACCGGAGCTAAAAATTAGCATCCTCCATTTCTCTTTACAGGCAATTATTGTACTTAAAATTATTAGTTTGTTCAGTTATTTACCTGTGCATGTTGTTCGCTGTTGTACTCATGTGTACACCTCAAAGCACACGTTATTAAGTACTTAATAAAATTTCTTGGAGTGAACCTGTCTTTATTAAACAAATACCTTGTAAACTTCTGTGTATATTAAGGGCCAACTACATCAGACGTGGTGCTAAGTGATTGACAGACATTTTTTCATTGAATCCTTTCACCAACCCTATGATGTCAGCACGGCTACTGTCCTCATTTTACAGAGGCTCCTGATGCTCCAACAAGTAACCAACTCAGTGTGGCTACAGAGAACATAGCAGAGCAAACACTGAAAATATACTTAATGCCCTCATCATCTTTCCTCAAAACCCTTATAATACCTGAACAGGTTCCTTGCCTGGCCTTTCTTCAATCCCTATTCTATAACACTGTTAGAATTATTCTTATAATTATTCTTATTCTCTTCTAGATAAAATGATCTACAAATGATTTGCAGAATAGCTTTAGGTGTTAGATGGAATTCAAATTCTGAGCTATCACCTGCTGGGTTTGGGCATAAGTTTTCCAAGATTAAGTTTTCTCACCTGTAAAGTGGCGATAATGATAGTAACTTTGTCATGCGGTACTATTAATAGATTAAATGAGATAATGCACTCAAGTTCTTAGCCTACTTCCTGGCTCATAGAAAGTATTCTCTAAAGATGATGGTAATGTTATTTCCCTGCTTACAATGCACCCCTGCTGCCAGTGGAGACAGTCCAGCTCCTTAGCATGGTATACACCTCTCAGCTGGTGTCTCCTGTCACTCTTCCCTCTAGCCGGACTACACACAAACAGACTATACACTTTCAAGCCTCCTAATTTTGCCCATGTTGTTCCCTCTACCCAGAATACCTTTCCCTATGCTGCCTATAGGCCCTCTCAAAACATGCTAGTTCACTTTGTCAAGGCCAGCAGAAAAATCTCTGTTGCTGCTGTTTGTGTCTTTCAAAGTTTCATGTGTTTTGGTCAGGCCTACCCAGGATAATCTCCATTTTTATTAACCCAAAGTCAACTGATTAGAGACCTTAATTGTATCTGCAAAATCCCTTTTGCCATATATTATAATATTGTCATGGTGGTAATGTTCTATCATACTCACAGGTCCTGCTCACATTCAATGGGGTAATTATGCAAAACACATTAGAGGCCAGGAATCTTGAGGGCAACCTTAGAATCCTGCTACTTCACATTCCTATAAACCCTCACTGGCAGCCTCCTCAAAGGCCATCAAGGTTCTATCAATAAGCTTTCACTGACATTTCCCTCACAGTCTTCCCACCTTTCACCTACCGCCTGGTGCCAATGGCACTCCCACAGTTTAGGAATTACAGTACTACCCACCTCCAAGTACCAAAATCCACATTATTTGTCTATTTCTGCATAACGAATTACCCCCAAAATTTAACAGACTAAAGCAACGATAAACTTACATTACCTCACACAGTTTTCATACATCAAGAATCAAGGAGTCATTTAGCTGAGTGTTTTAGACTGAGAAATTTTCATGACACTACAGTCAAGATGGTGGCCAAGGCCATATCATAAGACTTGATTGAGACTGGAGGATCCAATTCCAAGATGGCTCACTCCCATAACTGGCAAATTAGTGCTAGCTATTGGCAGGTAGCCTTAATTCCTCATGGCATAGATCTCTCCACAGTGCTACTTGAGTGTCTTCATGATATAGTAGCTGGTTTTTCCTAGAGTAAGTGGTCTGAAAGAGAACAAGACAGAAACTACAAAGTCTTTTATGACCTGTCCTCATAAGTTACTCAGTTGTCATTCCAGCAATAGTCTATTGGTTACACAGGTCATCCACATTTATCACGGGGCTAGACTACCCAAAAGCATAAATACTGGAAGATGAGGATCACTGGGTGCCATCTTGGAAACTGGTTACCACATTAGGGAAATGCCGGTGAACACCACAATGAGATATGAATACACACTCACTAGGGTGGTTAAAATTAAAAAGACAAGTGTTGACAAGGATGAGGAGCAACTGGAAATCTCATACATTGCTGTTTGAAATTTAATATGGTACAACCATTATAAAATCCAATGCCCCACTTAGGTATTTACCCAAGAGAACTCAACATTCATACAAATACTTTTACATTATATTTCAAAGCAGCTTTATCCATAATAGTAAAAAAATGAAAACAACCTGAATGTCTATCAACTTATAAACATATTACGACACATCCTTATAATGGAACATCACTCAACAATAAAAGGACATGAATTACTGATACATGAAGCAACATGGATTAATCTGAAATCATTATGCAATGTAAAAAAAAAAAGACTACATATATTGTGATTCCACTTAAGTGAAATTCTGGAAAAGACAAAATTATAGTGACAAAAAGTATACAAGTGGTTTCCCGGCGGTGGAGGTGGAGGCAAAGGATTGACTACAAAGTGGGCACAAAAGAATAGTTTGCGATGATGAAGATATTATCTGTTATTATTGTGGTAGTAGTGCATGGGTGTATACATTTACTAAAACACACTGACTTGCACAATTAGAATGGTTGTACTTAGTATATGTAAACTATAAGGCTGGGCACTGTGGCTCACGCCTGTAATCTCAGCACTTTGGGAGGCCAAGGTGGGTGGATTACCTGAGGTCAGAAGTTTGAGACCAGCCTGGCCAACATGGTGAAACCCTGTCTCTACTAAAAATAGAAAAAATTAGCCTAGTGTGGTGGCGCACGCCTGGAGTCCCAACTACTCAGAAGGCTGAGGCAGGAGAATCTCTTAAACCCAGGAGGCGGAGGTTGCGGTGAGCCGAGATTGGGCCACTGCACTCCAGCCTGGGTGACAGAGCGAGACTCCATCTCAAAAAAAAAAAAAATGTAAACTATAGGTCAATAAAGTTGATTAAAATATTACTATCTCACGGGATGATGAGGAATAAATAATACATGCACAGAAAGTTTTAGTTTAGTGCTTGGCATATAGAAAATATTGAGTTTATTCTGTATTTTCCTATTTAAGTTAGAGATTCTGAATATTATGAATGAGATACTGATAAGTTATCAAGGTGCATAAGTATTTTGTGATACATACTACTACAGCTTCCTAAGTGAAAATAAATCTTATTTCTAGCTACTAATGTTCCTGGAAGTTTTTGATGTCATTCTTTGCAAGAAAAAAACTGTGTTGATGTCATTTTCTGGTAACCTGGAGGGAAATGTAATTTATCAGGTACCTTTCAAAATCAAGAAGAAGTACATATTCTCTCTTTTTACGCAGGTAAAGTCTTTACCAGGTATTTCATGATACCACTGGAACCCCTTTAGGAAATACAGATATTACAAACATGACCTAGGGCTTCCTTTTCATGAAATGCTAGCAGAAAAACTCATTACTACTTGTGCATGCTTTTTAAATGGAGTATTTCAATGCATCATCATTATCACCACATTGCAGGCAGCATATGTTCTCAAATCTTTCATTTTAAAAGATACAGGCAATGTGGTAAGCACTGATTTGCATTATACATGTGATATTATAATAATACTGTCTTTCTCACTTAAATCTATCACTGTAAGCCAAGTTTTCTTTTAAACAAGCTCTAAAATCATAATAGTATTTATAAAATTAGCAAGAAATCAAAGACATAGCTCAAAAAATAATTTAAGCCTAGCTCAAAAAAAAAAAAAAAAAAAAGGACATGATCTTCAACCAGGACTAGGCTTAAGTTCCAAGCCCCTGTTACTGTTTTGTTTGTTGTTGTTTGTTTGTTTGTTTTGAGACAGGTTCTTGTCCTGTTGCCCAGGCAGGAATACAGTGGTACCATCTTGGCTCACTGCAACCTCAACCTCCAGTTTCAAGCAATCTTCCTGCCTCAGCTCTGCAAGTAGTTGGGACTACAAAAGCATGCCACCACACCCAGCTAATTTTTGTATTTTTAGTAGAGATGGGGTTTCACCATGTTGCCCAAGCTTGTCTCAAACTCCTGAGCTCAAGCAATCCACCCACCTCAGCCTAGAATTACAAGTGGGAACCACGGCACCCCACCCCATGTTACTGATTTTTATTGAAAAATACGATAATATGGCCGGGCGCGGTGGCTCAAGCCTGTAATCCCAGCACTTTGGGAGGCCGAGACGGGCGGATCACGAGGTCAGGAGATCGAGACCATCCTGGCTAACACGGTGAAACCCCGTCTCTACTAAAAAATACAAAAAACTAGCCGGGCGAGGTGGCGGGCGCCTGTAGTCCCAGCTACTCGGGAGGCTGAGGCAGGATAATGGCGTAAACCCGGGAGGCGGAGCTTGCAGTGAGCCTAGATCGCGCCACTGCACTCCAGCCTGGGTGACAGAGCCAGACTCCGTCTCAAAAAAAAAAAAAAAAAAAAAAAAAAAAAAAAAAAAAAGATAATATTTGTTAAGATCTGAATGTGTCCCCCAAAATTCATATGTTGAAACTTAATCACCAGTGTGATAAGAGGTGGGGCTTTTAGGAGGCAATTAGGTCATGAGGGCATCTCCCTTGTGGATACGATTAAAGTCTTCATAAAAGAAGCTTCACAAAGTATTCATTCAGCCTTTTTTCCCTTCCACCTTTTGCCATGTGAGGATACTGTTCAAAAGTGCCACCTTGGAAGCAGGAACTGGGCCCTCTGCAGACACT